GCAACCTCAAACTCCTGGGCTCAAGCAATCCTCCTGCCTCAGCCTCCCAAGTAGCTGGGACTACAGGCATGAGCCACCATGCCCGGCTAATTTTTTCTATACAGCTATTTTTAGTAGAGGCAGGGTCTCGCTTTCCCTCAGGCTGGTCTCGAACTCCTGAGCTCAAACGATCCACCCGGCTCAGCCTCCCAGAGTGCTAGGATTACAGGAATGAGCCACCGTGCCCCGCCACGACTGATTTTCTTTAGGAGAAAAGGCATTGCATTGGACAGAAACTGTCCTGTGCCAGAAGCCCAGAGGCCTACTTATTTGGGGCTCAACTACTAGCTCTAGGACCTAGGATTTTGGTGGTCGGGGGAGGAGGTAGGTCTGTTTCCTCACTGGCAAATTATGGGTATTGGGCTAGATCAGTGGTTCTTAATTGGGAATAATTTTGTACCACCACTCCTCCCCCACCACCCCTCCCTCACTGCCTGCCCAGGTGACATTTGGTAATCTCTGGACATTTGGTGATCTTTGGTTACAGTTGGGTGGGTGGGAGCTATTTCTGACATCTAATGGGTAGAGACCAGGAATGCTGCTACACACCCTGTAATGCACAAGACAGCTTCTACAGGGAAGAATCATCTGGCTCCAAACATCAGTAGTGCGGATGCTGAGAAACCCTGGTCTAGATCATCATTTAGGTTCCTGTAGATGGGGCCAGCTATTCCTTGGAAATGGGCTGCCTGCAGCCCCCCTTGAGGACCACACCCACGGCTGCAGAGCTCTACCTGTGGCATGAGACCTCACAGCACCATTTCTTTCTGGAACAGAATTTTTGCCTGATACACTGAAATTCAGTTTAATCTAAATAACAGGACCAATTCTGTTAGAAATAAGCAAAATGTTCATATGGCTATAGATCCTCCCTAAAGAGATGACATGTCAGGTGGCTCACACCTGTAATCCTAGCACTCTGGGAAGCCAAGGAGGGAGGATCGCTCAAGGTCAGGAGTTTGAGACCACCCTGAGCAAGAGTGAGACCCCATCTCTATTAAAAAAATTAAAAGGATAACTAAAAATATAAAGAAGAAATTAGCCGGGCATGGTGGCACATGCCAGCAGTCCCAGCTACTTCGGAGCCTGTGGCAGAAGGATCACTTCAGCCCAGGAGTTTGAGGTTGCTGTGAGCTAGGTTGGTGCCACAGTACTCTAGCCCGGGCAGCAGAGCAAGACTGTCTCAAAAAAAAAGTAGTTTGATACCAGCCCTGTCGTGGCTAAGTGGAATTAAAACGATCAGTTGTCTACCCTCCACACAAAGTCCCTGGAGTGGCTTTGGTGCCATGCCACTCACATCTCTGTTCCTTTAGGACAAAGAAACTGAAGACAAGAAAGTAGAAATGCCCAAGAGGCCAGAAGTTATCCCATTTAAAGTTTATTTCATGTGATTCTTCACAGCATGCAGTGTTCTTTCTTGGAAAAAATTTTTTCTTTGCTGCCCTGGTTTACATTATAAATTAATTTACAAATATAGAATTGTGTTAGAAACAGTATTTATAAAAGTCCATATGGTTTCATATATACAAAAATATTCATAGAAATTGTTGTACACATAGTATGGGGGTAGGTAGTCTCTTTGGCTGTCTTTCTGCATAATATTAAGAAAGTAATGGTGATGTCACTTGTACCTCAACAGCTGTTTAAAAAAATAATGTTCTGCATGTGTATTTCAAAATAAAATATTTTTTAAAGTAATGCTGTGAGAGTCCTGAAAAAGAATACACACCAAAAAGTTTTAAAAAATATATATATATATTTTTACAATGTGCTTGTGTTCCTGTTTCTAAAAAATTAAAACTCCAAACTAGCCAGCTCACATCAAAGATTTAAAAACATATCTTCTCTCATTGCTGCAGGAAAAAACCAAAACACAGTACAAAGGCAACTCATAGGACATTTTCTTCATCTTAACAGAACATTGTTTCCATAAATTCAACAAGTATCCTCATTCTAATTAACCCTTTTAGAATAAATTGTCATTCAAACAAATAGTGGGTGACTTTACCATGTATGAGGCACTCTGCTGGGCACCACAAGGATGACCATAAAAATTATTCAAATAGCTGGGCAGGAGTATCGCTTGAGGTCAGGAGTTTGAGACCAGCCTGAGCAAGAGCGAGACCCTGTCTCTACTAAAAATAGAAAAAAATTACCCAACTAAAAAGAGAAACAATTTTTTGACACTGTCAACGACAACAAAAATAAAGAAAAAAATTAAATAAATAAAAATAGAAACAAAATATCAGTTGGGGGTGGTGGCGAGCACCTGTAGTCCCAACTGCTCAGGAGGCTGAGGCAGGAGGATTGCTTGAGCCCAGGAGTTGGAGGTTACTGTGAGCTAGGCTGATGCCATGGCACTGTAGCCTAGGGAACAAAGTGAGACTGTCTCAAAAAAAAAAAAAAAAAAAAAGAAAAAGAAAAAGAAAAGAAATTATTCAAATGAAGATATATCTGTAAAGTGAAAGGAAAGGCTAACATAAATAAAATTCTTTTTTAAAAAATTTTAAGGCTAGTCAAGTGAAGTGTGTGGAGAAGGAACAAAGAAATCTGTAACTGGTTGTGATTGATTAGTTGTAAACACCACTGCACTCAGACTAGCCTCTTTTTAACCACTTTGGTACGGCACTCACCGGCGTGAAACCTTGCCCACAGCCGGCACTCACAGTCCACTCCTACCAAAGTGGTTAAAAAATTTGATCACAAATAAATGATTTATTGTATTAAAAACTATAAAACTCCATTTAAAAGATATTTTTATTAAAATAAAAGGACTTAAGGGAAGGGAAAAAGGGGTATTTTTAATAAAATTCTATCAATACTTTGTTAGAAAATGCAATATCCAGGACACAAGCTAAAAGGGACAGGATGCCAGACTAACGACCATAAGCTAGGACAGTGGTCACCCCAGATCTTGGACCATGGCAGCAAGAGTTAGAGATGATATCTACCTTTGCAGCTCAGAGGAACATATCAAATGACTTTTATTTCAACCACAATCTTTGGTGAAGTGAGATCTAGCTCCATTCCTACCCCCTATATACTTATGTCAGCCTATGGAGGCTTGCTTCTTGGTTTTTCAGAACTAGAACATGGAGGTTACAGCACCAGCTCTGGAGCCAGACTGCCTAGATCCAATCCTGGCTCCACTGTTTATTGTGTGACCGTGGGTAAGCTACCTAACATCTTGGACTTCCACTTGCCTCATGTAATACCTCCCTCAGCGGGCGGGGTGGCTCAGGCCTGTAATCCTAGCACTGGGAGGCGGAGGCAGGTGGATCGCTCAGATCCAGCAGTTTCGAAACCAGCCCCTGAGTAAGAGCGAACCACTCCTATAAAAAATGAATTATGGCACTAAATTTATTGGAAGAATCGATGCTCAGGAAAAAGAAAAAGTAGGGGGGGGGGGGGGGGGGGGGGGGGGGGGGGGGGGGGGGGGGGGGGGGGGGCGGGGGGGGGGGGGGGGGGGGGGGGGAATTTAAAAAATTAAAAAAAAAAAATACATAGAAAAATTAGCCGGGCATGGTAGTGTATACTTGTAGTCCCAGCTACTCAGGAGGCTGAGGCAGAAGGATTGCTTGAGCCCAGGAGTTTGAGGTTGCTGTGAGCTAGGCTGATGCCAAGGCACTCTAGCCTGGGCAACAGAGTAAACTATATCTCAAAAAAAAAAACAAAAAAAAAAACTAAGACCAGCCTGACAAAGACTGAGACCCTGTCTCTACTAAAAATAGAAAAATTGGCCAGGCGTGGTGGCTCACGCCTATAATCCTCACACTCTGGGAGGCCAAGGTGGGCAGATCATTTGACCTCAGAAGTTTGAGACCAGTCTGAGCAAGAGCAAGATCCCATCTCTACTGCCACGGCACTCTAGCCCAGGCAACAGAGTGAGACTGTCTCAAAAAAATAAAATAAAATAAAATAAAAATAGAAAAATTACCTGGTTGGTTCCTAGGCCCACGTAAAAAAAAGAAATAAGAAAAAATAGCCGGGTGTGGTGCATGCCTGTATTCCCAGATACTGAGGCAGGAGGATCACTTGAGCCAGGCACTTGAGGTTTCAGTGAGCTATGATAACGCCACTGCACTCTGCCCCGGGTAACAGAGTAAGACTTTGTCCCCCTGCACCCCCCAAAAAGTAAAAAAAAATGCAGATAACTGGCTTTTCTATAAAAATCAGAATGCTGGCAGGGCATAGTAGCTCATGCCTGTAATCCCAGCACTCTGGGAGACTGTGGCAGGAGGATCACTTGAGGTCAGGAGTTTGAGACCAGCCTGAGCAAGACTGAGACTCTACTAAAAATAGCTGGGCATGGTGGCGCATGCCTGTAGTCCCAGCTACTTGAGAGACTGAGGCAGGAGGATTCCTTGAGCCCAGGAGTTTAAGGCTGCAGTAAGCTACATGACACCACTGCACTCTAGCCTGAGTGACAGAGTAAGACTCTGTCTCAAAAAAAAAAAAATCAGAATGCTGTTCTCAGAGAGAGAACCAGTTGTTCACAGCAGCCTTCAGCTGATCAGCCCCAATCATTCTCTACTGGCTCAGCTGCCAATTGCTGTTGGTTTTCTCAACCAGTAACTTCATTAGCTTATGGTTTTTAGTCACCTGTACACATGTGAACTTGCAGCCCTGGAATACAGTGATGAACAAAACAGACGTGGTCCCTGCCCTCCTTGGGCTCACAAGCGACATATCCCAGAACACAGTGAAGTGGCTTTCTCTCTAAAAACGCCCATATCCAGGGAAACCTATAAAAGCTCACTGGGTTGTAGGCAGAGTTACCTAATACATTCAGCCTTGTTACTCCAAGTGTGGTCAAAGGACCATACGGTCTCCAGGAGCTCCACAGAAATGCAGAACCTCAGGGCCTCTCCCAGACCTACTGACTCGGACCCTGCATTCTAACCAGAATGGGTGCATCTCTCAGGTGTGTGCTTCCTGTGTGAGGTCTGAGAAGCACTCCTCTACACCTCAGAGCCCTCCCGGGGGTAGATGAGGCTGTTGACCATGCTGAAGTTGTAGAAGGGGCTGCCGAAGGGGCTGCTCTGGCCCCCGCTGGTGCTGGCAGGGAAAGGGCTGTAATAGGAAGATCTCTGGCCGCTGCTGTTGCCCGTGCTGTTACTCAGCTGCAAGGCATCTGGCGAGGCCTCCGCGATGGAGGTGGGGGGGAACGTGCCGCTGGAGGGCAGCTGGGCCCCCTGGATTCCTAGGTGGCGGCTGCCAGGGAGAGGTCGCTGGGCAGTCCCGCTGCTGCTGACACTCAAGGTGCTGAGACTGCTGAAGAATGTGTTGAGGCAAGGGGTGGAGGTGAGCATGGATCCTCCAGGAGAGGAAGCAGTACTCTTGGTGTCCTCGGGAGGCTCTGGGGACTGAGGAGGCCTCAGCAGAGAGGAGGGGCTGTCTCCTTCTGGCTTCCCTGCCACTGTAGAGCCCAATCCTGAGGACAGCCCTTCTTCTGATTTTGATGTCCCGGAAGCCAGCGTGGAACTGCTGCTGGCCTCAGAGCGGCGCTTTCGCTTCCTACGAAAGTTCCCATTGTCAAACATTTTCTCACAGTTTGGATCCAGAGTCCAGTAATTACCTTTCCCTGAGAAGATGAGAAAGAAAGACAAGTTAGGGAAGAACCTATTTTATCCCTGGGAGAGGAGACCCTCATTAAATGAAAACAAAGATGCTTAATCCACTCTGTTGTTTAAACTCACTCTTTTTTTTTCGTTTGTTTGAGACAGAGTCTCACTCACTCTGTTGCCCAGGCTAGAGTGTAGGCTCACAGCAACCTCAAACTCCTGGCCTCAAGCGACCCTCCTGCCTCAGCCTCCGGAGTAGCACCACCATGCCCAGCTAATTTGTTTTTTCTATATATTTTTAGTTGTCCAGCTAATTTCTTTCTATTTTTAGTAGAGACAGGGTCTTGCTCTTGCTCAGGCTGGTCTCAAACTCCTGACCTTGAGTGATCCGCCTTCCTTGGCCTCCCAGAGTGCTAGGATTACAGGCGTGAGCCACCACGCCCGGCCTAAACTCACTCTTTTGGGGGAAATTTTAGTCTTTGCTTCAAGGAGAAATCTGGAGCAAAGATGTTCTGGCCATTTCCCCTCTTCCTGACAGTGTCTGCTACTTAAATCTTTAGACCTAATTCTATTTTCCAGGCACTTATGATTAAATCACCCAACCCTTTCACTTATTCTTTTTTTTTTTTTTTGAGACAGAGTGTTGCTTTGTTTTTTTTGAGACAGAGTGAGTGTAGTGGCACCAGCTTAGCTCACAGCAACCTCAAACTTCTAGGCTCAAGCAATACTACTGCCCCATCCTCCAGAGTAGCTGGGACTACAGGCATGCGCCACCATGCCCAGCTAATTTGTTCTAATATATATTAGTTGGCCAATTAATTTCTTTCCATTTATAGTAGAAACAGGGGTCTCGCTCTTGCTCAGGCTGGTTTCGAACTCCTGACCTTAAGCAATAAGCCCACCTCGGCCTCCAAGAGTGCTAGGATTACAGGCGTGAGCCACTATGCCTGGCCCGTTCACTTATTCTAGATCCAAACTGTGTAACCTTGCAAAAACATGTAATTCTGATGCGACCTAAACTCGAGCCTCTGTTTCTTTATTTATAAAACAGGGAAAAGAATACTATCCATCTAGTAGATTGACTATGGGGATTAAATGATATTTCATCATAATGGCCAGCACACAGTAAGCAGTGAAAAAACAATATTTATTATAATTATTGGCTGAAAATGCACAACTTCTCACCTCTGGAAAAAAAATACCCCACTGGAAAAAGGCAACCTCAAAATCACAAAAATTATTACAGAGCAATCGATTGTTTTACCCATGCATTGGAGAGTATATATTTGGAGTACAAAAAAGTTCCTGCAGTCTACTACATACATCCCCTCATCTTGGGCAGGACCTACCCCTGCAAATCTTGAAAGGCTTTCTTTTTGTCTACTGGACAAGTGTTGAACATCCGGGTCTCATTTAATGCATCCAATGCTAGTTTTCTGCTTAGATCATTTCCCTCACCATGCACCACAATTGAGGGAGAAAAGTTCTAACTTCTTGGAGCATTGTATCTTCCAACAGCTGTTTTACATTTTTGGCAAAAACAATCTTTGATGCTTGAAAGTACTATTAAGAACTTACCTTGTAGTGACTGCTTACATGGATAACCTCAGTTACTCCTCACAGCTCTATGGGGAGAGGCGGTATTACTGCCCCACTTTCCACATGGGGAAACTGAATTACAGACTGGTTAGTAACTTGCCATATTCACAGTTAGCCATGGTAGAGCCAGGATATAAGCAGGCTGGCTCCAGACTCACCCTTCTTTTTTTTTTCTAATTTTTAAAAAACTTAAAAAATTTTTTCAGGACTAATTGATCCAGCAGGTGAGATGTTCCACAGACTCAGCATTCTTAACTAACCACTGGCTTAAGCTGCCTCCAGGAACCACCATGCTCTCCCCTGCACCCATTATTTTCACTGAACCACTTTCTGCAAATAGTTGCAGAAAAAAAATTATACCACTAACATTTAAACAATAATACCTGTACCTATCTGGATATTTATATAGTTCTACCTTGGCACCACTACTTTAACAAGAAACTAGCCATAGATCAGTGAACCCATAGGGTAAAGTCCAGAGTTTACATGACAATTGATGTGATAATCTTGGGTGATTCAAAGGCCAAATCAGAAAGAAGCATCTCCTAGAACTACATGCCCTGTCCCATGTGTTCAACCACTAGCCACATGTGACTATTGGGCACTTGAAATGTAGCTAGTCCAAATTGAGATGGGGTAAAATACACATGGGATTCTTAAAAAATAATGCAAAGAATCTCATTAGTAATTTTTAATATATTATTTGTTGAAATAATATTTTTGGTTACTTAACAAATTAATAAAAATGTCACCAATCTCTTTTCACTTTTTCAATGTGGTTACTAGAAAACTTACAATCATCTGTGGTTTGCACTGTATTTCTATTGGAAAGTGCTGCTCTAGAATGACTAAGCTTCATATTTACAGAATTTACACAAAATCCTGGATCTCTGTAGTGTGTGGCTAAAATACTTGCGTTTCTCTCTCTCTTTTTTTAATTTTACCCTACTTGCAGGCTATTGTTTCTTTTTCATATCTCAATTCCTTTCCCCTTGCCTCGTCCCGGGCTCCTTCTGAAAACCTCTGGTAGGATTCAGTTTCCCTCTTGCTAAACATTTCTCCACTTCCACCTCTCAGCGCACGTGGGAGAGGACACTCCACTGTTTCCATAGCCCCTCACGGCAGGAGTTACTAGACCAGAACGAAGCAAATTTGGGATATTCATTTCTAAATTTCTAACCAGTTACGGTACCAAAAACCACAATTTTGCAGGACCAACCTAAAGCTCTCCCTACCCTTTACCCCTATCTCACGACGTCCGCGCCCCTATCGTCAATCGGGACACGCGAGTCTCAGGAACCTGACCGAGGAGGAGTGCACCTATGGGTGACCGTCCCGCCGTTCTCACGCTCTCACCGCCTCTTAAGAAACATGATGGAATTCTCGGTTCACCTGAATCCCTCCGTAACCATCCCTTACCAGAAAGCTCACTCGTGTTCTTACTCTCCTAATCTTCCTACTAGACTCTGTCTTCGGCGGCCTGACGAATATCACCAAGGAAGGGGTAGCCTTCTGTTGGGGGACACGGACTTTTCCCTTTTTCTCTAACTGGCCTGCCTCTGCGTGTCCCTGGGTATAAGGGACGAGCTCCTCTCTCCCAAGACCCTTGGATACTTCTTTGTCCTCTGGGTTCCCCAAGGTCGGGGTGGCTGTTCCTCCACCTGCTCCCCCGCCCGCAGCCCGAGAGAGAAGACTCCTCGCAGATCTTCAAGCCACACAGACACCCCAACGCCGCTCCCCCGCCCCGCTCCCGCCGAGCGCCGCCTCCCCGGCCGGGAAGCACCTGCGCGGCCGCCCTCACCTGGATCGTCCTCGTCGCGCGGCACCTTCTTGAAGCAGTCGTTGAGCGACAAGTTGTGGCGGATGGAGTTCTGCCAGCCGGCCTTGCTGCGCTGGTAGAAGGGGAAGCTGTCGGCCACGAACTGGTAGATGTGGCTGAGCGTGAGCTTGCGCTCGGGCGCGCTCTGGATGGCCATGGCGATGAGCGCGGAGTATGAGTAGGGCGGCCGCACCATCTTCATCAGGTCCTCGCGGCTGGCCATGGACAGCCAGCCCAGCTCGCCCGGCGCCGCGGGCCCGGCGGGCGAGGCGGGCGTGGCGGGCGCGGGCTGCGCGAAGGCCGCTGCGCGCAGCCGAAGGTGCCGGCGGCGGCCGACGGCTGCAGGAAGGCCGGCGCGGCCCCGGGGGGCGCGCGGCGGCGGGGCCCCAGGTACGCTGCGGCGCAGCAGCGGCGGCCGAGGGCGCCCACGCCGGCCGTTGAGCCACAGGTAGGGGTTGGCGGCCGCGGCCGGCGGCGCGCCGTAGTCGGCCAGCCCGTAAGGCGCCCTGGAGGCGGGCGGTGCGCCGGCGGCGGCGGCGGCGGCGGCGGCGGGCAGGCCGGGCTGCGAGTACACGCCGAAGTTGTCGCCGCAGTAGAGAGCCATGTCGGAGGCCGGGGGCGGGTGCGGCGCGGCCGCGGCGACGGGCGAGCGGGGCTGGGCTCGCCGCTCGGGCGAGAGCATCCCTTTGGGGGCCAACCCTGCGGCCCCGCCTCGGCCTTCGCTCGGCTCCCGGTGCTCCGGGCCGGGTCCGCGGTACTCCCGCAGCGCCGGGGAGCCAGCCTCTTATAACCGTGCCCCGCGCGGCTCCTCCCGGGCCGGCCCGGAGCGGGGCGGTGGCGGCGGCCGGGCTCCACGCCCCCGCCACGCCCACCTGCCCGCGCACCGCTCGGAGCGCGCCCAAATCCGCGCGCCCGGCCCGCCCCGCGCCGCGCCCGGCCGGAGCCCGGGAGGCCCGCGCCGCCAGGTGCCAGGGGACGGCGCCAGCCCTTCCGAGCCCGCGTGCTGTTCACGCAGGATAAGATGAAATAACGAATGTTAAAGCCAAGGGAAGGCAGCCCAAACTGTAGGGACGGGCTCTAAAAGGTCCGGGAGTTAATTCTGGGTGGCCGTTCGGCCCACCTGCCCAGTCCCTTTAGCTTTTCTGCCCCAAGCCTGAGAACCTTTTTGACCGGGTTGCGGGATTCACGTCCGATCTCAACTCGAAAACAGCAGACGTGATTTACAACCCTTTTGGGTGTTCGGTAGAGTGCATTAACCGGCACCCTTCGTGTGGGTCCCCTTTTCCTTGGAAATTCTGTGGTCGGAGCAATGGAAATCGATGTTTAATTTTTCTGAACCAAACTATTGAAGGTGTTCGTTCGCTTTCGGGAAGCGTTTCATTTTACGTCCGGTGCGTACGGTCTTTCAGTGTGACTCGTTACCTTCTAAAAACAAGGGCCCATGTTGTCAACATTTAAATAAGTAGCTTCGTAATTAGCATTTCAAAGACTAAAGCTTAAAAGTTTAAAGTAATTTAGACTCTGCAAGAAGCTCTCATTTACGAAAAAAAAACGATCTCAGCTAACGGGCAAGTATTTGACTTGCCCTCTGCTTTTGCTAAGTTTTCAAAACCAGAGAAATACTGTGGTATTTGTGGCGACTTCACATTCCACGCAATCGTTTATTGACTCAAAACAGCAACAAGAGAATAATTTATTTTACTACTAAAAGTTGTCCTAAATGTGTTCTTAGTAAGTGACAGGTCTGAAGGTCTCATGTAAGCGAGAGGGAGAGAGGAAAATGTTTTCTCTGACCATTTGCCAATTGCAGACCGATAGTTCAAGATATTGAATCATTCGGACACCCACCCTCCCCGGAGAGATTTATTTTCATGATAAAGTTAGTTATGTACTTTTGGGAGAAATGCTTGCCTTCTGGTATCTCACCTCTTAAACAAATAAAATCCAGAGATATTTAATTAGCAAATTTGGGTACGTTTGTCTTCTCTGGAACCACAAAGGAATTATTGACATCATTAAAGCACTGTTTCTATCCAATAACCTGGCAAATGCTGTAGAAAAGAATGGTGTGTCTCTTAAGTGTATTTTGGTTCTAGGATCTAAATGTTTTCTTAATTTAAATAAGCATGGTGCTTTTTCTTCTTCTTCTTCTTCCTACATGGCCTAAAATGAAGTTGTTTGATTTTGTTTTGAAGTTTCTCCTGGAATGTTAATAAGGATGACAACTATGACCCAAGAAATTGGAAAGCATTTTTAAATAAGTTATTATGCCCCAATTTAATGTGCTCTTAAGTTTAACGATCTAAACTAAAAAGAGAAATTCCAGAAGAGGAGTTTGAGACCTAAAGATAGCAATAAATTATGAAAAATTTGAAGTCACCTCGCTTTAGTAATTCATGTCCTTAAGAATATAATTCTTTCTTTTATCTTTTAGCAAATTGCTTACCAGTACCTAGTTTGTAGTTTTGCATTTTTCTTTAGAGAGTCTTAATTCTTAACCTAAGAGCTCCAAATTACTATGAATGAGAGGCCACGATTGCAGATTATTGTTCCTTGTTTTTTTAGAAGTTCTACCTAGTAGGAATATTTTGTTCCTTAACTGTAAGTTATCTTTCGCGGACCTTAGGTTTTATTTAAAAATGACAGAGCCACCTAGCGACTCTTTGCCTTTGTTACAGCATGCATCTCCAGAGCTATCTGTGGGGTGGACAACCCCCTCTAGGGGTTTGGAAGTTACATTTCCTCATCTTAATCACATTTTAGACAAACTTAAAATTATTGTTGGTCATAGCATGGGTTATTGAATGTCAAAATTAAAATAATGATTTTTAATCCCTGTGGTTTTTTCAATTAAGCAAAGTTAAAATAATTTGATGAACTTAAAAAAACAGATAAAAATTTGGCTTTATTTTATTTTTTTGAGACAGAGTTTCACTTTGGTGCCCAGGCTAGAGTGAGTGCCATGGCATCAGCCTAGCTCACAGCAATCTCAATCTGCTGGGCTCAAGCGATCCTACTGCCTCAGCCTCCAGAGTAGCTGGGACTATAGGCATGCACCACCATGCCCAGCTAACTTTTTGTATATATATTTTTAGTTGGTCAGTTAATTTCTTTCTATTTTTAATAGAGAAGGGGTCTCCCTCAGGCTGGTTTCAAACTCCTGACCTTGAGCGATCCACGCACCTTGGCCTCACAGAGTGCTAGGGTTACAGGCATGAGCCACCTTGCCCGGCCAAAATTTGACTTTAAATGCAAGTTCTCTGTAATAATGTTTTGTAAAATTTCCTTTTCACAGGATGATCTAATTAAGGTAATGAATGCACCTTTGCCAGTGTGAAATAAAAATGGACAGTTTCAGGCCCAGCGCTGTGGCTCCTGTCTGTAATCCTAGCACTCTGGGAGGCCGAGGCTGGAAGATCCTTTGAGCTCTGGGATTCGAGACCAGCCTGAGCAAGAGCGAGACCCCGTCTCTACTAAGAATAGAAAGAAATTATCTGGACAACTAAAAATATACAGAAAAAATTAGCCAGGCATGGTGACACATGCCTGTAGTCCCAGCTACTTGGGAGGCTGAGGCAGCAGGATTGCTTGAGCCCAGGAGTTTGAGATTGATGTGAGCTAGGCTGATGCCATGGCACTCTAGGCTGGGCAACAGAGTGAGACTCTGTCTCAAAAATAATAATAATAATAAAACAAAACAAACAGAAAAACAACAAAAATATTAATTACACCTTTATTGTTTTTGTGAGGAAAGGATGTTTTAAGAAAATACGTTGAGACAGCTGGAGCCGGACACACTACCTGACTCCTTGCTGGCTGTTATTTTTTTCCACTGTCTGGCCACTTCTTCCATTCTCATTGTAGGGTTGGTGATGTCATTAGAGAGGGGCAAACTGGAGAGCTTCTGTCCTTTTCCCAGGCCATCGATACCTCAAAGACTGTGACTTATGAACTGAAACACAACTCAGAGGGACCGTTCAGTTTTACAGTGTTACTTACTGACTGTAAACGTTGGTGGGAAACTAAGGTAGCCCTTTTCTCCCCGAGAAAATGTGTCATTTGTCTTCCGTTCCATGAATCTCTTTTCCTTGTAAGCTTTTTATGTTGACAGTAGCCAAATTCCACTTCTGGTCACCCCACTCAGCCACCTTGGAGTCACAAATACAGAGTGGGGCAAAAATCAAACCCAGGGAGGCTCAGAAGTGGGGCGTAGCCCAGAGACCACCCAGCCACAAACCAGCTGACCCCGAGACCCATGCCCCTTTCCTAATGCAAACATTAGGCATAGGAAGTCCAGCAAAAAAAAAAAAAAAAAAGAATTCTGAGGATTCTAGAGGACTAAGCATCTGAGCATTCCACGGAAGTTCCATGTACTTAAGTTCAGAAAAATAAGAGAAAAAATTATCAGCCCAAATGGTGGTACTCCGGCAATTCCTTTGACTGGGCAAAGGTTATTGATCTGTGACTCCCTAGCTTGGACCTGAAGCCCCTGCCCTGGCATCACTCTCTCCCCCAAGTCTCTGGAATGCTTCCTGGCCTCTGGCTCTCGCTGATTAGCTCCATTCTTGAGCTTCCTCACATAGCTTCTCACACTCTTCCTTCTGCTCCAGACCAGCCTCCCAGGGAGTCTTCAGCTCTCCTCAGAGGACTGAGGACATGCCTTGCAGCGTTTCCCCGCAGGACTGGATCTTGTCTCCGTCAGGATCCTCCCAAGGTGTCCTCCCCGGAGGCGATGTCTACTGAAGGCTGCAGGCTTTCCCCTTACTCCTCCCAGTCCGGGCAGGAGCCAATTGGTATCCTCTTTGCTCACCACGGCCCCTGCCTACCATGCTTTCTCCCCCCCCCCCCCCCCCCCCCCCCCCCCCCCCCCCCCCCCCCCCCCGCCCTTATTGAGAAACTCCTTCAAATCTTTCAGCTGTTCTTATCTTTCTCCTTCTTTATGAGACTCCACCCTGTGTCTGTGGTCTTCCCGTCTCCCCCAAGCCCTGCCATCATGCTGGGGGAGACAGGAAGACTCATCCAATGCCCTGGTCCCTGATTTCCAGTAACCAACTCCTCCTCCCCAGTCAGCCACCCACTATTCCAGGTTTTCTACGAGAATGGAGGACTGTGTCTCTTATTACTCACAATTTTTTTGGAACTGACAATTATGAAACATATACTATGTACCTGGCACTGTGCTGAGCCTCTTACATGCATTATCCTATTTTATTCTCATAGCAATCCTGTGGAGTAAGAACTCTTATTCTGGCCAGGTTTGGTGGCTCACGCCTATAATGCTAGCACTGTGGGAGGCCGAGGCGGGTGGATTGCTTAAGCTCAGCAGTTCGAGACTAGCCTAAGCAAGAGTGAGACCCTCTACTAAAATTAGAAAGAAATTAGCCAAACAACTAAAACTAGAAAAAAAAAATTAGCTGGGCATGGTGGTGCATGCCTATAGTCCCAGCTACTCGGGAGGCTGAGGCAGAAGGATCGCTTGAGCCCAGGAGTTTGAGGTTGCTGTGAGCTAGGCTGATGCCACTGCACTCTACCAGGGCAACAGAGTGAGACTGTGTCTCAAAAAATAAATAAATAAATGTACACATATGGGATCCATGTTATTCA